TATTATTATCATCATTATCATTATTATTATTATTATTATTATTATAATCATCGTCATTATCATTATTAATACTATTAGTAGTAGTACCAATATTATTATAGTCATTTATCATTATTATAATTGCAATTATTACTATTATTGAGATCATTACTGTTGTTGCTATCATTGTTATTATTGTTGTAGTCAGTATCATTATTATCATTATTATTATCATTATCTTCATCTTTGTCAATATTATTATCATTATCATTATTATTATAATTCTTAATTTGATGATAATGATAATTATTATTATTATTATCATTATTATTGTTATTATCCTTATCATCAGCATTGTTGTTGTTGCTTTGTTCTTCTTAATATCATTATTGTTATTATCATTATTATTATTATTATCAGTAGTAGTAGTAGACTGATACTAACATTATATTTATTTTTATTCCATTATCATTACTAATATTAATATTATTATCATTATTATTTTTATAATAATATTAATATTAATATTATTATCATTATTATTTTTATAGTAATATTAATTAACATCATTATCAAAATTATTACTTTAATAATAATGATAAAAATATTTATTATTATTTTCATCATTTTCATCATCATCACTTATTATTTTTTATCATTATTACTATTAGTGTCATTATCATCTGCATAATGATAATGACACTGTTATTGTTATTATTATTATTATTATTATTATTAGTGATGATGATAATAATAATGATGATAATAGTAGTAATGATAATAATAATAATAACAATAATTATAGTAATAACAATAATAATAGTAATAACGATAATAATGAAAAAAACAATCATAGCAATAGTAATAATAATGGTAATGATTACAATAAAAATAACAATAATAATAATAATAATAATAATAATAATAATAATAATAATAACAATAACAATAATGATAATACTAACAATAATCACAACAATGATGATAATAACAACAATAATAAAAATAATAATATAACAATAGTGATAGTAATAATAATAATAATGATAATAATAACAATGATAAAAATAATAAAACAAAAAAGTAAAAACAAAGGCAATAGGAACAAGGATGATGATATTAAGGTTGAGCACCAAATAAAAAAGCAATACTAATAATGATAAGAATGATAATAGTAACAAAACTATGAATGGCTGATCTATTTATTGAATAAGGATTCATTATGCTGTATTATCACTTATTCATTATTCATAATGTATGTGATTATCATAATAACATTTCATTAATGACTCTCTTTTTTAAATAATTGCAAGTCATGACGGTTATCCCAGTAACTGTGCAGGTAAGAATCTGAAATTTCTGCATTTAACTTCCAGCAAATGCAGGATGTCTTAATGGCTGGCTTAATAAGATCTGAAACTAATAATAATAGTAATTCATCATTTCAGTGTCATTAAGATTTCTTGTTCTACTAATGCTGAAGTGTTTATTATCTTATGTTCATCATTACTTACTCTTTCCTTTCTTGGAGGTAGGTTCTATGCATTGGGCACAGCAAGTAAACTCATTAAGACATTAAAGTTTTAATATTTTATTCAAAATATGGAATCATAATTTTTCAGTGATTCTGACTAAATATTAGTTCTTTTAATATATAAACTTTATCATTCAAAATTACAAAATCAGATAAATATATAATGGTGTAACTACAAGCAAATGTTATTATAATCATATGTAATTTAGATTACATCATGAGTGAATTTCTTTGCATGCATATCATTCAATACACAAAGTGCAAAAATATTATATTTGGTACAAATCCATTTTTATATAACCACACTAACACATTTTTTAAGAATAAATAAATAAATTCAGGAGTCTCATATACTCATCTTATCTACAAATTTGATTATGCTACTTAAAATATCTTCAACATTTCATCATTCCAAATTAATTACAAAGTCCATCCCTATATACCACTATAAGAGATCAATTTAGTTTATTTAGATTATTCAGTTTATTCACTCATTCTCATGGAGGAGAACTTCCTTTTGAACAAGTTCATCGCTACAACAGAATGTTTGTTGTGTGTATTTTCTTTGTTTTTGAATCATGATAGATGCTCATATTTGTTCTATTCTCTCCTAAGGATGTATTATGATTAGCTTCAGACCCATTGAGGTCTAAGCATCATACTGTAACACAGGTTTCCAAGTCACTCATCTGAGTGATTTAGGGTAAACTCCCCCAATTATCCAACAGTAAACTGGCTTTCAGACTCATAATTTTGTTCTAAAGCAACCTTTCTATCAGCTGCTGAGAGGCATCCAGAAGCATGAGAATAATCTATATTCCTACAACCCTCTGAAATTGCATTTGATTCAGCTGCTTTTAAATCAGTTGGGAGGTTTAGTGCCTCTGATAAACTTTCTGGAGTCATCTCTTTACTTTCTGATTCAGCAGATTCCTCTATGCTTATATCAGGCATGTAGGGGATATCAATTGTGCCTTCTGTGCCCACAAGAGCAACCTTGTACTTTAGCCTTTCAGGATGACCTTTTGGGTGCTGGCTCATCTTCACTTTCAGAGCACAAATGTTGTGTGTAACTGACCAGCCAATAGGCATGTGTTGTGGTTTCATTGATGAGAGAAAATGCTTCCGCCATCTCTGAATTAACTTTATCAGCCCAACTTTTTCATAAGCTTCATACACTTTGTGGCCATGGGATTGAGAAGCCTTATTCCTGAATTTGGTGTCTGTCTCAGCCATCTCTCTGAGCTGTGTTTCACTTATGAAATCAGTCTCCAAGTAACTCTTAAGTATATTCTCTAATTCCAGCACCCGTTTCTCAGGGATGTTTGCCCTATTGCAAACCAGAGCTTTAGCAGCATTTTTCACAGTAATTTGATGTCTGTCCACACTGGTTTTCTTGCTATGTTCATTGCCAACAGGGGCATCAAACTCCTTTGCCAGAGTGTAACGAAACACTTTATCCTCCAAGTTGCTTTTCTTGTGGCAGTCCAAACAAAGCAACACAACATCATGACTCTGGTGGTTTTTCAGTATGTCTGGGAAATGTTTGCGATATTCAAGGGGAACAATGTTCTTTCTGATGTATATTTCACCCTTCCCACATACTACACAGACATTCAAACGTTCTTGAAGGTAGAACCTACTATCATCCCTGTCAGCTAAGGGTCGTCCAGAAGGTTCAAAGTTCAGTCGAATAACAAGAGGATCTTCACTCACAACTTCTGCTTTGCCCTTTTCCACATACCAGAGAGCTTTCCTTGGGTCACACACACAGAGCAACTCATTGTCAGGAGCTCTCATCTGGCTGTAGTAATAGAGTGGGGTCCTGCGCGCCACATGTGGTTGGTAGGCTGATTTCAGTTTCGCACAAGAAGCAGTCTGTCCACTTTCGTTTGATCCTGTGAAAGATTTACAATGACAATTGGCGTTCAAGCTCAAATATAAATGAATACCAAAACAAGAACATGAGTAAAAAATAAGAGATAATGATAAATATGAAAAGAATCAGAGAGCATTAGTAAGGGGTGGACATAAAACAAAAATTTAATCATGTTCCTGTTTATGGAGTATGATATGCAATGTAATGGCCAAATATGTTACTGCTGTATGATAGATCATTCTTAACATGGTCATCTGAAGTCATACTGATTGATAGATTACTAGCACCAAGATTCTGAATCAACACAAGGATGCTTTCCTGTGTCCATTATTATATCTTTAGTAAGGGACTTTAGTGTTTCCCCATGTTAGAACAGTCATATCCAGTCTGTCTGATTTTGTGATCGGTGTATTGCATTATCATTATAGTAGGTTTCTGTTGGTCAATTAAATGATTTTTAAATCTCTAACACAATGGAGGCAATGCTGTTCAGAATATAGATTTCCAGAACTAAGATGATACTTTATCCAGACCACATACTTCACTGGGTATATTAGTAAAAACACTGGGTTTCAGTGGCTGGGTGGAAGCACTTTACTGCTATTGTTCCAGAAGGATAGTACTCTATGATGACAGCATGTTTATAGGATTTGGAAGGATTGATTAGGAATAAAAGCAAGTAAATTTGGGGGAAAATACAGCGGTTATGCACTTCCTAAACAAACTCCAGACTTTAAGGGTTAATATCTCTTGTCTTCATTATCATTTCTATGTTTGCCAACCATTTGTTGTATATCTAAAATTATAAAATGTTACCCTACTACAAAACTTGGCCTAGTTCATTTTTATCAAATGAAACTCAGTACTCATACATAAACAAATATATTTTTTTTATACTCAGATATTACCATACAAACAGTAGATAGATAATCTTGAACCAAGTCAAGAGAAATGTCACAATTATGAAACTCCACATTAGGAAAATTAGCATCCTCCCTCAACACAAAGAGTCTTATCATCGCCTGAAGAAAGAGCAGGTATGACAAACATCCTCTCAGGAGTTGTCTCTCTGCTTTGTGATTCAGTTGAACTTGAGGGTGAGTTCTCCCTTTTCACTGGAGGACTGTATGGAATATCAAGTTCCCCTTCTGTGCCAACCAATGCAATTTTGTACTTCATGCGCTCTGGGTGATCTGGTGGGAAGTGACTTGCTTTGAGCTGCATCTTGAAGAAGTTATGTGTGACAGACCAGCCCTCTGGCATATGCTGTGGCTTCATGGAGGACAGAAAGTGCTCCCGCCACCTCTGCTCTAACTTCATCACACCAACTTTCTCGTAACCTTCATAGACCTTATGTCCATGTGATTGGTAGTCATCATTCCAAATCTTGATGTCCATTTTAACTACGTCTTTCAGAAAATCATTATCCAAATCTTCTATATGGAAATAATCTTTGATTATTTTTTCTAAAACAGCAATCCGCTCTTCAGGTATATTTTCTTTGTTATTTACTAATGCTGAGGCTGCATTCCTTACTATTTTCCGGGACCTGTCAATGCTGACTTTGACATCTTGTTCTGTTCCAATAGGGGCACTAAACTCCCTTGC